TTGATGACTCCTAACCAACTGAAAGAAAAAGGTGGTAAAGTTTGAAGGGCCCCAGCAAAAACAGGTTTTCATCCACTGTTCTGAGCTGAGCTATACTGCAAGAGAGATTCTGACACTAAGAAAACTCTTAGCGGTAAGTGATGGGAAATGACCATGCATTGATGACTCCTAACCAACTGAAAGAAAAAGGTGGTAAAGTTTGAAGGGCCCCAGCAAAAATAGGTTTTCATCCACTGTTCTGAGCTGAGCTATACTGCAAGAGAGATTCTGACACTAAGAAAACTCTTAGCGGTAAGTGATGGGAAATGACCATGTAAGCCAAAGAAACCACCTTCAAACTCTGAAAAGTCAATAGGGCAAAAGTAATTTAAGTTACAGCAGATGCTGTTGAAAGAGGCAAAACCTCTCTGGTGCATCATATAATCCCGAACTGAGCGAGCTCATGCAACTCCAGGTGGCTGAACGCCTCCCAGGGACAAATCACCGTGATATCTGCAAAAGACAAAAGAAAAACATGTAAGCCTACCTCACCCCAAGGAGAGCCTCATCTGCTCAAAAAGACACTTTTCAGACAGAGACACCACACTCTTATCTCCCATTCATTGTCCCTGGAGTGACCAGGAAGTTATCTAGAATGGTCCTGCAGCCCAGGAAGGATCAGACCAATTGCTGAATTATTGCCCCCAGGCATTTCTGTTAGCTTCATTCTGCATCCTCTTTGGGGAGATGGCTTTTGACTGGGGGTACTCTGTGAGAGTACAGCTCACTGAGTACACAGAGTCTCTCCAAAGCGCAAGCACTAAGAAGGAACAGAAGTGAAATTCCAGTCAGGCCACAGCTTAAAATGAGATATAGGAGTGCTTTAAGTTCCCACGGCTTAGGTATCCACAACCTTCCTACTGCCTCCCAGATGGATTCCTTGGGTTTCTCTAACTTGCTCTTCGGTTCCTTTACATTTTAAAATGCTTATATTCAATTGTGTATTAAGAACCATTTTCAAGGCATCATCTAATCCAGCCCTTTGTTACAGACAAGAAGATGTCTTTATCCCCGAGTTACAAATATGCTGGCCGACACCAAGAGAGATTAAACAACTAGCAAAAAATCACACAGTTGTAGAGATGAGACTAGAACCATGTCAAAGACCTCAGATCTACTCTCAGCATAAACCTCTTTACAATATTCCAAATGTGCTGGCAGAGTTAAGCATATCTCCTAGAGCCCAGAGTGAATTTGCTGATCTGTATACACCTGGCCAAAATACAGAAGCAGTTAATCTAGGAGAACAGCAAGTGAGCTTTATAAAATGGCTGGAAAGTTTATTTGAGGTCCCAGGAGTGGCATTTGACTGCAAAAAGCAAATACGCTGAGGATTGCCTAGTAAGGACACTGATTACTGTGAGTGCCTCCACTTATGAAAAGTGTGCTGGATGAGTTGAAAACTTATGTCCGTGCAAAATCCTGCACACGAATGTTTATAGAAGCTTTATTCATTTTGCCAAAACTTGGAAGCAACCAAGATGTCCTTCGATAGGATAAACAAACGGTGCTACATTCGTACAATGAAATATTCAGCAACAAAAAGAAATGAGCCATCAAGCCATGTAAAGACACGGAGGAACCTTAATGCATATTGCTAAATGAAAGAAGCCAGTCTGGAAAAGCTATATTCTGTATGAATCTAACTATATGATGTTCTGGAAAATGCAAAACTTTGGAGATAGTAATAAGATCAATGGTATAATGGTGGATACATGGCATTAAGCATTTATCAAAACGCTTAGGACTGTACAATACAAAGAATAAATCCTAATGTAAGCTATGGACTTTAGTTACTATAGTAACAATTTATCAGTATTGGCTCATCAAATGTAACAAATGTACAACAATAATACAAGGTGTTAGTAATAGGGGAAACTATGCACAAGGGGAGTAAAATCATACAGGTGGTATATAGGAACACTTTGCACTTTCTGCTTAATTTTTCTGTAAATCTAAAACTGCTCTAAGAAATAAAATCTATTATTTAAAAAAAAATATTCAATAATTGCATTCATTATCCAATGAATGAAAATATTCTAGTAACTAAATAACTGTATTGGATATATTCAGTGTGTAAAACCCTGTTCTGGGTGTTAGAAGATGTGTAAAAGAGGAAGTCAGTAAGCGAGTGGTTTGCCTGGTAGAGTGGAAGTTTCTCCAGGCCCCACCTTTATTTCCAGTACCTTAGTCTGTGGCCTCAGATTGTCACTTAATTCCTCTATGCCTCAGAATTCTCTCCTGAAAAACAATGTTGGGCTAGAGAACCCTGAGAATCTTTCTACCACAGATGTCTACAATTAACCATTATATGCCCTCAAAGGCTGTTTAACAAAACAAGAGGATTCATTAAACTTGGGAGCTACCCTGATTGTTTTTAGGGTTTTTGCATCTGGACATACATGTACTTCCTTAGGAGGGAAATTAAATCTACACATTTCTCTGTCTTCAAAGAATCTGCTGCCTTAGGTATTTCCTGTAACTTTCAACTGTGCCATGAGGCCTGAGCTGTATTAAAACTCCAAGTGTGAAGTTCTCAGTTAAATCTGTGGGTGGCTTACCTGTTCCTAGCCCCTCCATGCCTGGAATGTCATCTCCAAACCTATGGAAAAAAATAAAAGAGAAATTAGCTGAAATTAGGGTAAAAGGACCCTGGAGTTACTCACATGGAGAGTTTCTTAACTCAAGGGTGAAGAAGAAGAGGTTAAAGGGTTTGTTTTTGAGAAACTCCTGTTGTTTGTATTAAAGTGGGGATAAGAAAGTCTCACTCAGTCGGGCAGGTTTTAGTGTATCCCAGTGGAGAGAGATTTCTCCTCTGCAGATACTTGGCCTGAGACAATTGAAAGTCAGAAAGAATTATCAGTGGAACAAGGTAAGTCAAGCTTCACTTTTTAAAATAAAAATTGAAATGAGAAAGCGATATAAATGCACTATAAAATGACTGATTCATCTGTTTGCTCACTTATTCAAAAGCATTAACTAAGCATCTACTATGTGCTAGGCATTGTGTTAGGCATAGAGAGTTAAGGACAAAAACAAACAAATTTTCTCTGAGGGGTCTGAGTCTCAGGGAACAGACGTAAATAAATGAATGCAATAGAAAGCGATACAAGTTATGATAGCTGAATGTCAAAGATGCAAACATGAACGTAAGGATAGTTCGTTTAAGAGAATCAATAGTGGCTTCAAAAAGAAATTAACTAAGGAGCTGTGAGTTGAAAAGTAAATAGGATTTTACCAAGGAGAGAAAGAGAAGAATCAAGAACTCAAGACATAAGATTTAAAGCCAGAAAAATAAACTGTTTTCTGGAAATGACCAGTGATTCAGGATCCCAGATTAAATCACAAGGTATGTCAGCGAAGGGGAATGGTCAAGAAAAACCCAAAAGGCCAAGCCAAAGGTTATTGTAAAAGGCTCCCCTTGCCATGTTAAATTTGGTTGTAGAGCCAGGAGCTGAGAGGGAAAGGATTCCAGGCTAAAGACACAATTCAGGAAAGATTGAGTTAGAGAGGAAAATAGAGGATGGGGTGGGAATTTTTGTAGATCTGTTTAATATTGTGAGTATTAATTTCTCAAAACCAAAACAGTCTTTTGGGAAAAAAAGTAATAGAAAGTTTTCTTTTTCATCTTGGTCTTACCCTTTCACACCTTTCTTAGGTGGTTTACTCTTGAACTGGCGAGTCTGCCTCTGCTTGAACTTGGGAGGACCTTTGCGTGGGGTGGTGGGACCCTGGTTTGAAGCTGGAGGAACCTGAAGCTGTTTGTCACTCATTTTGATGGTCCTTAGGTGGCTGATATCCTTCTTTCAGGCTCCTTAGACAGTGAGAGAAATAAAAAAAGATGACCTTTCAAGTCACGGGGACCATCTCTTAAACCTTTACTCTAAACTGCGAGAGAAAAGTACTTTGATAAAGAGGCTCAGTATTTCATGTTGACACAAAAGGGGAGATATTACCATCTTTTAAAGGGACTTTTAAGAAAATATGGTCTAAATGATTGGAAGCATTCAATGTAGTGGGGTGTAAACTGACAGCCAATAAATTTAAAAACTTAAAATTCTAGGTAGATACCTTGTTTCAAGAGATCCACCATCAGTATTCTATGTTTTATTTTTTAATTTGAGTAATTTTATTTTTAATTGACACATAATAATTTTACATATTTATGGAATACAGAGTAATATTCTGATACATGTATACACTGTGTGATGATCAAATCAGGCTAATTAGCATATCCATCACCACAAACGTTTATCATTTCTTTGAGATGAGAACATTGGAACTGCTCTCCTCTAGCCATTTAAAAATACACAATAAATTATTGTTAATTATAGACACCTAGCAACTAACAAACACTGGAACTTATTCTTCCTATGTAGATGCAATTCTGTATCCATTAATCAACCTCTTCCTATCCCCCTTCCCTTATCCCCTTGTCAACCTCTAGTTACCACAACTAACTGTACTCCCTACTTCTACGACTTCAGTTTTTTCATCTCCCATGTATAAGTGAGAATATGTGGTATTTATTTTTTTGTGCTTGACTTATTTCACTTAACATAATGTCTTCCAGGCTCATCCATATGGCCACAAATGACATAATTTCATTCTTTCTTTTTCATGGCTGAGTAGTATTCCATTGTGTATATGGGCCGTATTTTCTCTATCCTCTCATCTGTTGATGAACACTTAGGTCGATTCCACATAGTGGCTTTTGTAAATAGTGCTTCAGTAAACATAAGGGTGCAGGCATCTCTTTGGTATACTAGGAATGGAGATGAGTAGTATTCCATTGTGTATATGGGCCGTATTTTCTCTATCCTCTCATCTGTTGATGAACTCTTAGGTCGATTCCACATAGAGGCTTTTGTAATTAGTGCTTCAGTAAACATAAGGGTGCAGGCATCTCTTTGGTATACTAGGAATGGAGAAAGGGAACTCTTTACACACTGTTGGTGGGAATGTAAATTAGTACAGCCATTACGGAAAACAGTATGGAGGCTCCTCAAAAAACTAAAATTAGAAGTGCCATATGATCCAGCAATTCCACTGCTGGGTATTTATGTGAATTTATCATAATGGTGTACTTCCCCTCTGTTACCAGTTCTACCACATGTAAAGAAAAGAAATGAACTAATTGATATCTACAGTCTTTTACAGCACATACAGGTTCTTTATGCTTTATGTATTCTTCTATCCAGCTGCAAAATAACTTGATTCTAAATGTTTGTTGAGCAATTTTTATGGGCTCTATTTCTGTATAGTCCTTATTTTGTTTAATTCTCACATGATCCAGGGACTTTACTCTTAATTCTGGGGGATGACAATACAGTTGTCTAGACAGGAGGAGCTCTGAACCCGGGATACGGACCCCCATGGATATATTCAATACATCCTAATGCACACACGCACAAATAGAGAAGTTAATGCAGGGTGATTAAGTAATAAGTTTGTGCTTTAATTCTACATCCAGGCATAAGGTTCTTCAGCTCACATTTCTCACAAATCTTCACCCCTTTCCCCTATCCAAATTATGGACCTATCCAATATGGTGTCCTAGACTTTAATTTGGCTGTGGAAATGTATGTTGACATTTTTCAAATACAAATCAAAGAAAATTATTGAGAAATATAAATTTAAAAAATAAATGTGCTAAGCTTTAGGATGACATTTTTTTCTTTCACCCTTTCTTTCACAACAATCAACAAAACATACCGTGGGAAGAAAGATTCTGAAAAACTCCGTAAGAACTTCCAAATAGGCTTAAGCTATTACCCTGAATCAACCCCTTCCATAATCTAGTGCTTGGGGGCTCTTTATATGTAGGATTCCTTATCTTATCCCTTACAGGTTGATGCTAATATTCTTATCTTCAACCCTCCCTGACAATCTCAGGCTCATGCTAACCATTGCTCTCTTTTCCTGCCACAGTGCACACCCCTCAGATCTTATATGTACAACTTCAAGTTCATAACTTTTTCTATTACTTCCAAAGTCAGGTTTAAAGTATTATCCCTGCCTCCAATATATATATTTTTTTCTTGTTTTCTTTTCCCCAATTATTATTTTCTTTCTCTTCTGCCATTCCTCAACTTGTTCAGTGCAAACACACTGGCTAACCTGTTAGCTGGCACCAAAGATGGGGAACCTGGCCATCGCCTGGACCNAAAAAAAATTCATCCTTTGTTTATCTGAAATTCAAATTTAACTGGACATGCTCTACTTTATCTGGCAATCCTAACTAAGATCCTATTACGTTGGATCCAGAGTTTTATAATGTGGGGGCCTAAAGTAACCCTAATCAGTCAAATTATCATTTGGGATTAATACGGTATAAAGAGTATGCTCATTAAAGTCAAATAGAGGTCATTTCAAATTCTTGTGTCACAAAACTGGCTATGTGAACTTGGACAAGTTGCATAATTCTCTCTGGGCCTCATTTCATCTATAAAATGAATCAAATAATAACTTCCTTTTAGTGTTATAGGGAAAGTTAAAGGAGATAATGCAAGTAGAGTGTCTGATGCAAAGTGCTCAGAAAGAATTAGTATACTCTAGACCTTCTGGGAGTTGGAGAAGCTGTGCAAACAAACCTATGGTTATGACACATGTTCACCTGGAATCCGTGCTCCGCTTCTCCAGGCCAACCGCTGGACAGTCCTTGCTATCTGCCAGAGAGGCAACCGCCATGAGCACTCGCTGGTTGATCCCATCTCCCCTCAAATGCCCCAGCTATTAACTTATTTCTGGTCTCAAACTTCTGTCTTAAGAAGCTTTCCTTGAAATTTTTTGACATCCCTAACAGCAGCCCCAAAGAACTTAAAAATCATACTTGACTTCCATATCCTTCCATATTCTCGTGAGTTTCTTCTGCATGTTTATATAAAGTTGCACCTTTAGGCTTGGACAGTGTTCATGTCTAATTCTAACTCAGATGTATTATATAAAAGACACTCCTCAGAAAGAGCTACATAACAGTTGCCAGGTTAGTCCCTGAGTCCTCCTGGTCCTCAGGATTTGCACTATGGGTAATACTTGCTATTCTGTGTGTAGCACATGCAGTGTTTCATTTCTGAGTAGCTTGGACAGTCGACGAATCCCCACAGAGTTTTTGCCATAGATTCACCCTCCAGTTCTCTCTGGAAAAACTTTGAGAAAAGCAGAACAAGTATC